GAAAATAATAAAAAGTTATATTAACTAAAAAGACAGGAAGTTCTTACGCAAACTTTCATGTACATGTCAAAAGTTGTAACCTTGTGGGACTTATTAATGTGAAAAATTGATGGTTTAAATCTCTATAGAATTGTGTATGATTTGTAGGGGTGACAATTCATGTCGTATCAATGTAACAGTATTCTACTCAATAGGTAAATTCAAATCCAATTTATTTAATAATCGTACCAAGAGCCCTCAACACTAATCCGACCTGTTTAGTAAGCAAGTTAACATGTTAACCCTTTTAATGACCTGTTTATCAAAATGAGAGATTAAATATTCAATCAAATAATAAATACTAGAAAAAAAATTGTCGTAATTAATCCAAATATTCAAAAGAAGATGAAGAAACATAAGGCGTAGTCAATATTTATGTTAAAATGACATAACCATCGATAGTAATTAGGTTTAAACATGTAACATATTATATAGGTTATATTCACGATTATGACATGTTTAATCAAACAGATATAAATAGGTTACACGGGCTGACCCCCTCAACTCTAACCTGACACGGTTAAGTAAACGAGTTAATCTTGTTAACTCGTTTATAACCCAAACCTATTTAAAATCAACCTAAACCCGTTTATTTTATGTCGTGTTCGAATCGTGTTGGCAAGTTATGTCGTAATTTGCCGTCCCTAATGCTTTGTACACATAAAAACACTAAAATGAAATGAACTTTAATTAATGTGACATTCCTCATCCCCTAACTTTGCAAAGTGAACATGAGACTTCAACTCTTACTGTGATACCCCCTAATTTTGGAACACGGTTTGATCAAGTCCACGCACAAAATTAAGGAATATCAAAACAATTAAAGTATTTAAACAAGCACGGATTACAAAATGAAATAAAGAATAAAATAAAACGCTGAAGAAATCCAATTAATAGTAAATCCATTAATAACTTCCAAATGGTTATAACTCGGGAATTCCGTAACTCAAGGACCCCTTAACCAAAAGTTACTATTTAGAATTTCAACTAAATAAATACTAATATCCACTGAAACAAAACTAATATCCTACTATTAAATAAATATAAGGAATGGATAAGTCCTCCAGCTGCGGATCCTCAACCTTGAGACTTGACCTTCTAACAACCTGAAAAATAAATCGCGGGTTAAACCCTACGAGCAAGTTCTCTCTACCAAGCCTCTGAAAACCAATAAACAGATCATCTTTACCAAAACCATCCCTAATTAAGCTTTAACTTTAATATACGACGCTACAAATATATATAAATAATTATATATATAGTACAATAATCCTATCTGTTAATAGGGCATTAAATTGTCAAAACCACTCACCAATGATTAATTATCAGTCATACCTAAACCAAGCCCCCCCCCCCCCCCTAATAATTTTCTCATAAAGTAAACTCCACTCACCTTAATTCCATCCTAAACAGTAATTTAGTCATTTAAACAATAACTTACAATTTAAGGAAAAATCTAATAAATCCAAAACCCAATAACACTTTTGATCATTTAAATTACATATCCAAAATTTAAGCTTTGACAAATCATCCATGTCTCCACCACTATTATTTTATTGACATATATAAAATAATACACTAACCTGTATATTCTAGATTATTCTAGTCATAATCCAACCTATACATACCATAACCTTATATGGCATTTTAATCATCTAAACATATAGCAATTTAAATGTGCACCGGCAAATCAACCATACCATTTATAAATATATTTATTTATATACTAATAATTCAACCATACTTCCTTAAGTATATTTACTTATACAATTGATTAGTAATTCAACCATGCTTCCCATATATAAAATTTATTCATAATCAATAAGGTAGTATATCAAAGCATTTGGCAATTCATCCATACCTACAATTCAACCATGTACTAACTTTAAACTTAACTCTAAGTTTAATTATACATAGACTTCACATACATATTATAAACATGTCCTTAATTTACTAACCGAGTATCTATTACGATTTTAAATCAACCATACCATCCACAAATCAAGTCATACCAAATAAGATTTATAATATTTAATAATCCTAAATGATATATATATACACATATATTTTATAATATATATATGTGTATAATACATTCCATACTAATCGTTGACTATTTAAAATCATAACTACATATATATACATGTGTATACCTCCTTTCATGGCAAAAATATTTAATTAATTGTATTTATACAAATTCATTGCTACTAAGTATCTTAGTAACACTCTGAGGCTCTTAGAATACCAAGAACACACCCTCTAATGATTAATTTTAACCCTAACAAGCTTAAGATAAATACTGAAAATTCACCGGACTCCCAAGCAACTTTCCAGGACCTCACACACATCCCCACGCGCCTCCACGCGCGGCCACATACTCCTAGACTACTTACACGCGCCTCCACGCGCTTCCCCTTACCGGCAGGAGCGTCCACGCGCCTGCACGCGCCTGAGCCACTCTCGGCGCGTGTTGGCAGCTTCCCATTGGCTGTCCCTCCGTTTCTTGGTGAGCTCGCCCACACCGTGTCATCTCCCAGTATTTAATTTACATCCAATAGCCAGATCTTGAAGGCACACCAACTCCCCATAGATCGTGCCACACCAGATCATCATCCACCATCATCATCACTACCAACAACCCAGATAAGTGAGTGCACCATTCTCCTATGTATACACACACACTGGAACATTCCTATTTCATCAGGACCATCTAATTGTCCTGATTTGAGGCGCACCGTAGCTCTGTGTACACCGCCGCACCGAATCATCACCCTTTAAATGATGCGCCAATTACACACACCCCCAGTACATATATATAAACAATACATATATAAATATATATATACAGAATATATAAAATAACTTCTAAAATCATAAAATAATTCTAGAAAATTTCCATAAAATCCCCCCAGCTTAATTTAATTATTTTGAGCTTAACTGAACATATATAATTAAATTAAGATCTATTTAATTCAATTCATCATGCTACACAAGGCTAAAGCAATCTATAAAAATTTCTCAAAATAAAGTTTAATTAAACTAACCTCACATATAAGATTTTAAATTATCAGAACATTACATATATATATACATTCACATGTTTAAACTTATAATTTTGTAAAGATTAAACATGATCATATAATCCTACTAATAAATTAATTTAATTGAAAATAAATAAAAAAAATAAATACATAAACTATAATTTCGATAATCAGGTGATAGGCTTATGAGCCCTAAAAGGAGAAGTAGAGAAGAACTTGCCTTTCTTTTCCAAATCCGGTCTCCTCTTTCTTTGATCCGGTCTCTTCCTCGTTAGCCCTTCTTCTTCTCTCTCTAACTCCTTTATTTTTCTAACGTAGAAAAATTCCTAACCCTAAAGTCTTATGTGTCTATTTATACACATCAAAAAGCTAAATCCTTTTCCCATTATGATTACCATATAAAATAAATAATATTTATCCTTTAAATAATATATATACATACATATATTTTAATATAAATATATATATTTTCTTCCATATATAACCATTAGTTAAATAAATTATATATACCTATATATATCAATATATGTTTATATTGACATATATACCCCTCCACATGATTTAATAATGAATTAAATTTATACACATGTAATTATATAGGTATAATTATGCAAAGATAATTATTAAATATCCTCACAACCATGGGCCTTTACTAATTAACCCAACAAAGTTTCCTTCAAACCCAATACCACATCCGTTGGTCCAACTTCCCTTAATCCCAATCCAAATAATTTAAATACCTAAAATAACTAAATAAATAATACACATAAGCGTAACTACACCCAATAAACAATTCACTCTTTAGCATTTCACAAATCAAACACTACAATTTTAACAAATAAAATTATAAAACATAATTCAATTAAAACAAGACAATATATCTACACACTTAATTAAATAAAACAAACCACAATTATCTACGCACTTAATTAAATAAAACGAATCATAAATAAAATAAATCATTAAAAAAAATAATAATAATAAAATAAAAATAATTAATTTTAATTAATTAATTCTTTAAAAATATTGGGGTATTACACTTACTAAGGACATGTGAATGCTTGTCTTATTTAACAAAAAGACTTTTATGCGACATCCTAACATTAATCAACTTATTTTTTTCTAGGGCCCGATTTAATCAACTAATGGTATAGGTTTTTTTTTTTCTTTTTTTTTGCTTTTTTTTTTTTTTTCGGTAGTTTTCCCTATAATTTACTAATAGCTGAACTTATGATCTTCTATTGATACCAAGATTTTTAGTACTCCGTAATAATGTTTTTTTTTTTTTTACTCTTTTCAAATTGCTAACCAAAATCAAAATTTAAAAATAATTTTCTAATGATAATTAGTATGATATTAGAGTAAAAAAAAATATCAAATTCAAACATGACTGTCATAATTAAAATAGAAATACGTATTAGATCAAAAGAAAACCACACGTAAAGAGACATGTTAGAGAATATAAACATCTAAGCGTAGATGATGGTTAAAAAATAAAATAATTTTCCTCTTTTCTTCCAATTTGAATATGAATTAAAAAATCAAAACGCGCCCATACTCTTAACAGTTCTAAGGAAAAATAACTTCATAAATTATATTTTTCAGGGAGCAAGATTTTATATAAAGAATAAAAGATATAGGATCTTTTATTGTTTGAAAATTAATGTGATATATTTTATTATATAACTAGATCTTTAATTAATTTGAAAGGGACATATAAATTGTTATAAGAATGTGAACTTAATCATATTCAACCTGTCCCCATCTTACCTCGAAATTCTTTCGAGTCACACATATATGCAAGCTAGCTTTCATAAAACTTGGCTGAGATTTGAACCCGTCCAAGTTAGTTGTAGACCACAGGTCCACACGTCAAGACATATATAGTCTATATGGCATTGGAAAATATGTGCATCTCATGAATTTGAAAACTTGATCTCCTCTATATATATGGCTAGGTGTTATATTAGTTTTACACCAAAAACACATACACATACACATACACACACACAGAGATGGGAGCGATGTTGAGGGTGGGAATGTTGTTTATGGTGGTAATGATAGTGGGTGTTTCAATGGCAAATGGTGAGATGAGTCCGAGCCAGTGTAAGCAGGAGAGGCGGCTCCTCGAAAACGCATGCAAACCAGTTATTTTTGGGCAGGATCCCTCCCCTAATTGCTGCCAGCGAGTTAGGGACACCCATGTTGAGTGTGTGTGCCCCCAAGTTACCCCTAAGCTGGCCGCCCTCCTCGGATCAGTCCAACGTATTGTTAACAAAATTGAAGGTTGTGGAAGGCATGTTCCTCACAACTTCAAGTGTGGCAGTAAGAGCTCTCTCTCTCTACATATAAATATAAATATATATATATATATGCATTATATATGGCTCATACATTTACTAACCAGATATATACTACTTATTTGATTGATGCAGGTATCACCACTCCGTGAGAACGGGGGAGTAGTACCGCGCGACTATATAATATACTTTTATTGAATGATTAATGTTTTGGGTTAAGTGATCGTGTTTTGAGTTATGTACCAAATGTACGAGTACGTTTGAGAAAGAGACTGTGTGTGAAGAAAGTTGTGTAATTCTCCACCATCTAATATATATATAAGAAATAAGAATTTCTCTTGTTATTGTTATAAATCTCTTCAGAGTACTTTTATTATTATTATTTTGTTTGACAACAAGAAATCTGTTCGAGTTTAGCACTCTGATAATGCCACACGGTACAATGAAAACACTTACATATGAAGTGTTTTGATTTATTTATTTCATGGACAATACTTGCCATATAGGAAGGAAGTTTCTTCTGGGTGAAGTTTTTTTTTCTTGAAACGTAAGATGATGCAGTAGGGATGGCAACCGGGCGGGTTTAGAGCGGATTTCCCTAAATCTCACCCCGCTTCTTTTAATTTTTGTCAAGTCTATGCCCGCCCTGAGACTCGCGACGGGTTAGATTTTCATATCCAGCCCCGTCCCGTTGGGAAATACTGTGCCCCCGTGCCCGCCCTGCTAGCAATTTTTTTTCTCCCGCTTTTTGGAACTTAAGCTCCTCTATTTGAATGTGGAAAGCCTGGGAATGGCACAATATAAATGAAATTATGTATCTCAACAAAAATAAAAAAATAACATGCACATAACATAATTCAGATAATATAATAAACAAAAATTAAAAATAATACAACCAAATCACAAGAAGTTTTAAGCTCCAACTTCCATCATAACCAAAATAAAAGCAAATTTAATACCAAGTTTACATCCCAAATTAGGATTATAAGATATGGGTAACTGGATAAGCCGCTAAAATAATATATATATATATATATATATATATATATATATATTAAATATAGTTATATGCTTAGCGGGGTGGGGCGCGGCGGGGCGGAGCGGGACGGGGCCCTAGGATATGTATACTGAACCCTTACCCGCCCCGTGACCTGCGACGAGTACAAAATTTGTATCCATGCCCGCCCCAACGGTATAAAAAGTGTTCCCATATCCGTTATTAACGGGACGAGGTGGGACCTTAGCGGGGTGGTAAAAATTGACATCCCTATATGATGGGTGATGTTGCTCAATAAAAGACTCTCATATATTTTAAAAATGATGTAATATTTAAAAAAACAAAAATGAATGAAACTCTTTTTTAATGGGTTAATCCAACTCATATATATAATGATGTGTTAATCCAACTCATATAGATCTTCTCTTGTTCTTTGACAGGTATGAAATCTTTATTGGAGCCAAATATGGTACCAGATTAACCCATTAATTAGAAATGATAAGATTGTGAATATTAGTGTTTTGATGTACTGTGATGTGAATAGGTAATTTTGTATATTTAATATGAATTTTACCCAGATTACCCTATTAATTAGAAATGATTTAATCGTAAATATGAAGGTTTTGATGTTCTGTAACGTGAGTAGTTAATTTAGTATATATAATATGAATTTTACCTAGATTAATCCATTAATCAGAAATGGGTTTGATCCATTTTTTAAAATTAAGACATATGTCTATTTTTTATTGGACCACGTCATCTTAAGAAATAACTTCCTATTTATATGATGAGTAGTACTTACACCAAACACTTGCAGTGAATTACTTAACTCAATAATTTTTAATTAGCTATTTATATTAAATACAATTAAAAAAGGGCTCCACTTCCTTATTTGTTATATACTGCAAGAAGAATCATTTTCCTTATATGACCTAAAACAAATATTGTTCTTATTTTAATTTGAGTTATGATACCTAGGCGAAACACTTCAACTCGTTCTGATCTTTAGGTTGTTTATTTTGGACTTGGCTCAATGGTTCTCAAAAGTCTTTGTTAACCTGGTCTTAGGGATGGCAATTTTTGGACTTGGCTCAATGGCTCTCAAAAGTCTTTATAAACCTGGTCTTAGGGATGGCAATTTTTGGACTTGGCTCAATGGTTCTCAAAAGTCTTTATTAATCTGGTCCTAGGGATGGCAATTTCTAATGACCTGGTAAGTTTTCCTCCCGTTCTGCCTTAATGTAGAGGATTTGGTAGTTCCCTAGATAGATTTAAGGCAGGTATGGTAAAATAATTAAAAATTCGAAATAGGTTTGAGACGGGAGCGAATTTCGTGATAAACCCGTCCCATCTCCGTCCCGATTATACATGTACCTTTAAAAATTTTATATATAACCAAAATATATATTTAATAATATTAAAACTCTTATTACTCGAACTATTAATTAATATATAATATATTAATATTCATTATTTAGTAATTTAAAAGATGAACCAGCTTTTTTATTAGCCTAATTTGAAAATATTGGACTAATTTTTTTTTTTTACTAAATAATAAAAGTGGTATAACCCGTCCTGCCCAACAATTAAACGGATTACGCGGGCCAAAGTTGATACTATGTATGTTAAAATAGGAGCGAAAATGGTATAACAATTAAAAACACGTTCCGAAAAAGAAGTGGAGTTGGTATGACAAATTTTTATTGGGGCGGAGTAGGGTTTAGCCAAATTCACCCCAACTCCGCCCCGTTGGGTCCCTTGAATAGTTGGATGTGAATCTTCAAATCAAAATTCAATTACATTTTGACGTAACATGTTTTTTTCAAAAAATAAATTTTTTTTTTAGGTAAAACAAATTTTAATTTTAATTTTTTGATATTTGCCAAAGGTCTAGGTTAAGGTTGAAGTCGAGTCCATCGAGTGGAGCGTATAAAATAATTTATCAAAAATTAAAGAATAAGTTATTTTTATTAGGTTTTAATTTTTTTTTTTTTTGGCAGATATTTTACAATAACTAAACACCGTAAAAATAAAAATTAAAAAAATTATCCTAAGTAGCTTAAGCATTCATATTAAAGTACCGATTCTTGGATTTCCAATCTTTTACATTTATTTTCTTCACTAAGAACTTTGAACACGCAAAATTTACTTAAATGTATGATTTTCACTAATTAAATTCAATTATGTTTTAAATTGTGTTCTTTGTGAATCTGATCCAGAATCTGACGATCACTTGTTTTTCAAATGCTCTTTGTTAATCCCTTATGGTCATTTTGACAAACACGTTGTGGGTTCCATACGCTACAAACATCTTGGACAGAACTAGTAGCATGGACCTAGTATCACTAGAGGGAGAACTCATCGAATTGCAGCAATTCAATCTCAAAACAGAAGTATTTTGAAGAAGAAAAAACTCTCAACAAATTCAGTTCCGCACTGTACCTTAGAAACAGTCCGGCTCAAACTACCATCTTCAACGCTCACTGACTATACCAACTGCTCGATGCATTGCAGAAGAATGGGAATTACCTTCTAATTGTCCTTCGGCCTCCAGCTAAACCGCCAGATCATCTTTCTTGAGGAGCTATGCTTCAATGGCTACTACCGGATTGAGGAACTCTGTTCCAGCGCAATGCTAATGCTGTTTGTTGCCTGGTTTGGCCTTCAACGTGGTCTCCTAAATATGGGTTTGTTCATGGTTGTTGGGTTGGGCAATACTTAGTCATGTCTTCATGGTCACTTGGACTGACTATATCCCTTTTGGGCTGTAATTATTGTTATTGAAATTTACCTTTCAAAAAAAAAAAAAAAAAAAATGCTTGAAATTATTATTAATTCTTGAGTGCTTTGGGTTTCTATTTCTAATACCTAAGCTCTTTTGTTACTTAACCCAAACAACGACAACAAACAATGTAATATAACAATCTAAATATATCGCGAGAAAGGAGGATTTTCAAATAAATTGTGGAAAAGTGTAATGGACTGTAAATATAATCCTGAAATACTTAGAACCCATAATTGTTTTACAATTTTGTGACATACTAGTATTATCAACAATATAAAAATATTTAGGGTAAAGTACAGTCACACCCCCTAAGGTTTGATAAAAGGACGTTCAAATGAAACTTATCTGTTTTTTAAAAATGGATAAAGACATCCCTTTACATGAGAAATTGACCAAATTACCCTTTGACCGTTTAGGAGACTTTTTTAACTTGATAATTTAATAAATTGGACCTATCTACCCTCAAGAATAATTTATGCATTAAAAAAAAAGTAACCAAAAAAAAAACCCTTATATTGTTCAATTTTTTATTATTTTTTATTTATTTACTTTATAAATGTCCCAACTTCTTAAAAATGTAGACGTCTAAAATGATTTTTTGATCTGATACATATATTTCAAATAAATTATATTTTGTTATTACTTCTTTTCTTTTTCTTTTTTATTTTTAAATTAAGATACTTAATTCTTTCATCTAAAAAAATTAAACCAATCTCTTTTCCTTAAAAATAAAAAATATGGTATTAGTATAACTTTATGCATCTTAAATTAATATTATGCATTTCCCCACATAAAAGGGGAAAAAAAAAAAAAAACAAAGGCATGCATAAAATTATACTGGTACCTATTTTCTTTTATGTTAGGAAATGCATAATATTTGATATATAATTTAAAATGTATAAAGTTATACTGGTACCATATTTTTTTGTTTTTAAGGAAAAGAGATTGGTTTAATTTTTTTTAGATGAAAGAATTAAGCATCTTAATTTAAAAATAAAAAAAAAATAAAGAAAAGAAGTAATAACAAAATAATAATTTATTTAAAATACATGTATTGAATCAAAAAATCATTTTAGACGTCTACATTTTTAAGAAGTTAGAACATTTATAAAGTAAATAACAAAAAAAAAATAATAATAATAATGAACAATGTAAAGTTTTTTTTTTTTTTTTATGCATAAATTATTCCAATTCATTAAATTATAAAGTTAAAGAAGTCTCCTAAACGGTCAAAAGGTAATTT